ATTTTCGAATTATTGATGGATAATGTAATAGAATATGATATTTAGGTTTTAAAGTGTCTTGAAATAGTAAAACATAATTTAAATTATGATACTTAATAAGTTGTTCTAAACGAATGATTGAGGTCTCTTTAATTTGGTATGAAAGGAGTATAGTTATTATTTCTGAAAAGTTTAAAAAAAACATCCATACTGGATCATCAGCTGGGACTAAGTCACCAACCATTAATGAAAAAAAGTGAACAAATGTCATCATTTCTCGGGCAGTCATTTTTAAGTGAAATTTTTTAATATTATTTAATTTAATAGGTGGTGAGATGTTGCCAATTTCAATACAACCATAATTAAAGTTAAGTTTTCTTAAATTTAAAGTTTCCAATGAGAAAATGTGAACACTTTCTGTGTAGTATTTAATAATATGGCACATGTTGCCGCCATAAATTAATATAATATAATATAGTAAAATACTATCGGTTACGGAGGAACAGCCGATCGACACAATCACACACATACACAAACACTCGCGAGCACCAGCCGTTATTTTTATATTTATTTTGTTTTAATTATATTTTGTGTCTTGTGAATTATATAATATTATGCGAATCGAGTATCGGCGCGTTATCTACTGCNATTATACACTATCACTACCATGATATAACAACCGCATCTATATACCGACTATACCGGCGTATCATTATGATATTGTGGATATTTAATAGATGACCAACATATCCATATTAAATTTAGTCCAGAAGTAATCTTGTATGGATATCTATATGATATCTATCCGAAGTAACTTGTGGACTAGACGTGATATGGATATGTCAGTCATCCATTAAATAACCACTGGACTACATGTGCTGTGTGGGGTTGACCTTAATTTTTGTAAATATAAATATACATTTTGACATTTTGTAGATATAACTATAATTTTTGTATATATTATAACGATAATTTTTGTAAACAAGAATTTGATTGTCTAAATGCTGTTTAGAAAAAAAATTATATTTTTAAGAAATAAGAGTAATTTTTGTAAATATGAAGTTGTATTTATTCATTAGTTTTAATTTCCAACTCAAATTACATGACGTATTGGTATTTGGTTTTAATAATAATTGTATACTACGTAAGCATTGTGTTTAGTACAGAAAAATAAGGTAAAAGTACAAAAAACATGGTAAAGCAAAAAAAACTATACATTATAACATGATGTCATKATATAGGTGATAATTATTAATTATTACGATCGTGTTATTATGATCATTCTGTAGATACGGCGGCGGCTGTCAGTGGCGACGTGCAACGGCAGCGGTCGACAACTAACGACCAATCACAGCGCTCCTGACTTTCGCCAGGGGGTCTGGCGGCTGCCGGCAGCTCAGACGCTCAGTCGCGTGCGGCCGCTAGGGGTGGGAATTTATCGATAGTTAACACCATCGATATTTTTCGATACTATAGGTTGGTACCATCGATAGTTATCTATAGTTAATTTTTTAATGTAGAAATATGAAGGTGTAGTGTATACTTTGCTGCACAGTACAAAATACAAGAAATATCTATGATATTTTACAAATTATAAGTATTATAAAATATGCAAAGTATTTAAACTGTTTATTTAACTCAATTACAACCTGTCAAAACATATTATTTAATTTAAGAAAATATAGGTAATATAAATTCAAAATTTAACACAACAAAAGTATAAACATTTAACAAAAAAAAAATGATTTAAAATATAAAAATTATAAAATAGTTACTTTCTTTTTGGTTTAAAAATCAACATACTATAAAAATTATTTAGTTCTTCCTAATAAGTCTTTTAATAATCACATTATGAGGTACATTCATTTCTTAGGTAATATGACCAATATTTCATTAAAATATGCGTTTAAAAATGTCAAAATATGCAATTATATGCCATAAAAAAAAAATTTTATATACCTAAC